CAACAGATTCTCTCTTCCACTGTTGTTAAGATAGCTGGTGGTAATATCTAATGGACATCCACTTTCTCAAGAAGCTTGTATACCACTTTCAGGTTAACAGGGGTATTCTGATATCCTCCACATGTTTTCAACCACATGTTATCTGTGTTACCTACTAGTCATAGCTGACAGGTATCAGAAGTCCACAGACACATCTGATATCTTAAACAAACCAAAGTCAAACACGTCCGGTTGTGACACCAGAACTCCATTAGAGTCTGTATCAGACATCGACAACCTACGGCACGTTAGCCAAGCACAGCGCGTGGAACGATTTTCACTGGCAAGCTAAGTGGACTGAATATATGATCTCGTTCGGAAATGTACGAGATAATTATATTGGAGATAACATTATTTTGTTTCTGGAATTGTTGCAATTCAAAATGTTTTTGACTTGGGGCGGCACGTAGAATGCACCATGACTTCGAATCATCACAATTAAAGATTTGCCGACGGGTGGCATACATGCTAACGGAAATTCTGACCACTGGGTTTTGTCGTTCTATGACTTAAAGCTCCGGGCCTGGCGACTCATGTATCCTTTACTTTCCTCAACGATCATATGTTGAGTTGAACTGAGTCAAGAATTGACATCACAACACTCGGGGCATTCCCATGCGTGCTCCGACCTCATCTTCAGCAGCCAGCGCAGAGTTCCAATACTAATGCTACCGGTCGTAGTCTGGTTATATGACCGTCTTGCCTTTCCCCTGAGTGTAGTAAGCCATCAACAACGAAACGTCGGAGATAACTGACTACAGAGATAGCACCAGGATATGGAGGCTTAGCCCCCTTGATCCGCCTTCCAGAAACAAAGGGAAAAAGCAATTTAAGGCGGTGAAGGCTGAGGTCACCCTTCTCTAGAAAATATGTATCTACCTGCGAACATACTATGTGAAAGTCACTCACATCTAGTTGTCAGCATGGTATATAAAAGTCGCCCCACTCTACTTTAGAACAGGGTTTATGAAAGTCGCAACCATTTACGTGTGAACAGTATATGAATGTCACGGGTACATGAAATTCGCTCTCATCTATTTGTGACATGGTATATGAAAATAGCTCACATCTTCTTGTGGCATGATATATGAAAAAAGCTTCCATCTACCCGGGACAGGACACATGAAATCGCTCCCATCTACCTGTGACATGATATATGAAAGTCGCTCATATTTACCTGTGGCATGATATATGAAAAAAGCTTCCATCTACCCGGGACAGGAAACATGAAAGTCGCCCCCATCTACCTGTGGCATGATCTACGAAAAAAAGCTTCCATCTACCCGGGACAGGACACATGAAATCGCTCCCATCTACCTGTGGCATGATATATGAAAAAAGCTTCCATCTACCCGGGACACGACACTTGAACTTCGCTCCCATGTACTTGTGACATGATATATGAAAGTCGCCCCCATCTACCTGTGGCATGAAATATGAAAAAAGCTTCCATCTACCCGGGACAGGACACATGAAATCGCTCCCATCTACCTGTGGCATGATATATGAAAAAAGCTTCCATCTACCCGGGACACGACACATGAAAGTCGCTCCCATTTACCTGCTACACGATGTTTTAAAATCAGTGACATCTGCTTGGGAACACAGTAAACGAAAGTCAATGCCATCTAGCTGTGAACATGGAAATAAAAATTACTTCTATCTTCTTGTAAACATGCTACACACAAGTCACTTCCATTTTCTTGCGAACGTGGTTTACTAAAGTCACTCCCATCTATTTGTGAAGATGGTATTAGAAAATTTCTTACATCTATTTGTCAACAATATGTATGAAAGTGTAAGTTTCTGTATTATGTGTGTGTGTGCGTGTGTACGTGTGCGCGCGCGTGTGTGTGTGTGTACACAAAACACACTCATTCACATTACATATATTTTTAGCCTTGATTACACCACCAGATTCTGACTCTGAATCTGCAAGCGTTCCTCATTAGAAGCCATTTTATGTATGATAACTTACATGTGAAATAGATTTATATGTTTTGATCTGTATTATTAGGCAACGCATAGGAAACTGGAAATAAGAGAATCACTTGTACGGGTGAATGAAAAATACCCGTGAAATAAATGATTCATTTGATGTCAACAGTCTCAAGAGCTCCAGAGAATAATAATGTTTTGTGATATATTTCAACGTGAAAAGCTTATGTGGCAATGCTGTGAGAGCTTCCTTAGGACAGACGCTCTCTCTCTCTCTCTCTCTCTCTCTCTCTCTCTCTCTCTCTCTCTCTCTCTCTCTCTCTCTCTAATGCATAAAATGCATTCGACTATGTAAGTATATGATTAACGTTACAATTTGGCACTTTAGCACAACACACCACATCCAACCGGGTGATAGATATTCCCCGTGAGATGCTTCTAAACGGAATTTCTCAGACAGTGAGTTGAACACTGGTGTCTTGACAATGGCACTATTCTATTGCCTGTACTTCTCTACGTGGACAAAAGAAACGTTGCAAGGACAGCCTCAATACCTCACTAAAAGACTTCAGTACTGTGATCCTAAAACCTGGGAAGTCGCTGCATGTTACAGCTCATCCTGACGCTCCTCTCCTTATTGAGGAGCTGTGACCAATGAAGCTGCTAGAACTGCAGCAGCTATTCAGAAAAGACAAGCCAGGAAAGACACTGAAGCAAATCACCGGGGATGCGGCTGCAATTCCATGTCCACACTGCTCAAGGACTTTCAGTACTAGAATTGGCCTTATCAACCATCTGCACACTCACAAAACCTAACCCAGTCACCACTGGATGAAAGGACTGGTCATCATGACCTGTAATGGACGAACAACAACATTCTACTGTCTGCTTAAAATCACTCCACGCAGATTGTCATTGCCTCATCTTCGACACTCTTGCGCACAAGAGGCGTCTGTGAAGTTGCCGACTCAGCTGACGATGACGAGACAGTTCGTTCAGTAGTTCGCCCTAGGTTATTGTCTGCTGAACTGATAAGAGTTGATAAGACTTTCGGGTTCGTCGGTGTAGTGTATGCAGAAACGGGTCTACCGAACCTGTGGGTCAGTGAGTAATGACTGGAACAGTAGACACAGTTGATGACTTCGTCAAAGGCTTCGCAGAGGTCTGAAGTGAGTTTGGTGTACAGAATGGGTCTGACGGCCTTGTCTGCCATCAGCAAGCACATTAAATAGTTTTTAATTATATACATTCTGTTGAACATAATCTCATCATTGGGATCAACATAAAGATCATAAATTGCAGCGATTCTGTATGGGGTTTGGCAAATGATAAATGCAATAATTATAGAAGAAACCAGTCGAGATTTCTCCTTCTCTCTGGGCGAGTAGCTATCGGAGAAGTAGCGTTTTCCAAGCAGGTAGGTCATACAGTAAATAACCATAATGAAGACTATAGGCACAAATTCAGAAAACGAAGTCATCAGCCAAGTGAAGCGACTTGCTTCGTTAAGCGGATCCACGAAATAACACATTCCTTCCAGTGAGGTGAACATAAACATGACAGGTATGCAGCACAGGAGAGTAATACCGCATACTACCCCACAGACTATCACCAAATGGTATGCCTGTGGACGCCGAATGGTATTCCTGTTTGTCAGCAAAATACCCCGGAGAACTGCCAGCACCACGATAAGGTATGCTGCAATGACACCACAAGTGCTGATGAGGTACGCACTGCCTTTACACCAGGCTTCTGTATTCTCATTGGAAGCATACATCATATCCATAATACTGGCTGGGACACTTATAATGAGGAACAACGAGTCGACCACGCTCAGGTAACCAAACACAACGTAGAAGTCAGTTCGCAGCCGCGGATATTGTACGACTGCTCGCAGCATCAGGGCGTTGGCCACGAGTCCGACTAGGGCAATCAGACCCATAAGAATGCTGGTCACCAACGTGTCTTGAGTCAGTACTTCCATGAAACCGGACATTCTGACCAACTGGAGTAATGTCAGAAGCAAGGCCCGAGCGACAGATGATTGAGAGTTTCAGCACTTGGCACAAACTGCGACTGTTGTCAACATATCCGAAGCTAAGGTGTTCTGAAGTTACCACAGTTCTGATTCCAAGCTGACATCTTACATTCATGAACAATGAATCTGTGGAGGAAACAAGAACAACAGTGAGTAAACAAAATACACAATCCAAAGAGTCAGGCAGAGATATTGACAGTACGTGTGCTGGGTGGGTAACATTAACAGTTAACATATAAGCAATACACAGCTTTTTCAAATTCGCATCGCGAAGGATTTCTTCAAAATATGACCTTGGCTCCCAGGTCGGCTAAGACTAAAATTTCTACCAGGTAAAGTCCTGGGGGTAAAGGCGGCTGGCGTGATGTTGACATCACCCACCAAGTGTCAACTGGTCTATAAAATATAGGTCCTGCACCATATGCCTAATACACCTAATGACGTGGAAAATGGTCCTATACTGCTGCTATGTTGACCAAAATTCGAAGAAAGACAAAATAAACATTCATAAAACACTAAAGCCTATGCATTGCGAGGGTAAGTCAATAAGTTACTCATAAATGGTTGCTTAAAAAAATAAGATGATAACAACTTGAGAACCGTTTATTTTTACACAAACCCTGCACCTTTTTCCCCAACATAATTTCAACCAACATTTATGCACTTGTCCTATCGTTTTATCAGTCCTCCCAAACCTGTTGCACAGAATTGCATGCTCTGTTTTCTAAACCACATTTTCACTTCACATTCGACTTTTTCGACATTCGTTAAATGTCTCCCGCCAAGGTGGGTTTTCAGAGGACCCAAAACCCTGTCAGCACCCTACTGCAGCTACTACAGAGTCAACCGTTACTCGCTTGTCACATCTTATCATCTCCTCCACCCACTGCAATCTCAACACGACAATTATTTACCCGGCTATACACCGCTCTACAGGATAAACATCTGTCAGCATAAACACGAAGCATTTCCTTATGAATGTCTTTTGCTGGCAGCCCCCTTTTACACCCCCCTCCCCCCAGCACGTTGTTTTTTGAGGCTACACTCCGTAAGCACAGTCACCATTTTGTTTATGTGTTGCAAATGTGCATGCAACACCTACCGTCACCTAACGGAGCTGACATAAAGATATAAAGTTCTATGTTGCAGCAACCTAATGACACCTTTAAAAACCAGCAACTTCATTTTTTCTGCCATCCCATAACCATTCGTGGCTTACTTATTGACTTCCCCTCGTTTAATAGTATTGTGAAATGCAAGAAATAGGATGAGCTGAAACGAATACACACACGCGCGCGCACACACACATACATAACAAATGGGGGGAAATGAAGAGACAGCAAATACACAGCAACAGTAAATACCGAAACAAAGCTACGAAATGGTATTTTTAATTAATTACGCAACTCAAGGGATATTCTGTCATAGCTTTTACATCCTACACATGAGATACAGGGGCAACAGCCAAGATTATGTCTAATGTATGATAAACTGCAAGGTTTCCATGATTACGTATGAGATTTGTGAACATTTAAAACAACTGTCCTCTTTAATCCCAGGGATAAATTGTGCCGATAAACCAATCCCACAGCCCATCAACTCATTTAATAAATTGCCAGGAGGATTTAGAATCAATACGATAGCCCATGGAAACAACACGGAACAAGTAATTACAAGCATTTACATTAAGCACCGCGTTGTTGGTGGAGTCTAATCCAAATTCCAACGTCTCAATGTCTAATCCCAACACAGGGGATTCTCGACCGGGATGTATAGCTGAACATTGACTGGACTGATGATGATGATTATGATGATGATAAGGAGGAAGATGGTGACGATAATGTGTTGAATTACAAATAAATCTAATCATATATTTGAAATAATACGAAAAGTAATAATAATAAACATCGATTAATAAAGAGAAAACTTTAGTACATGGGAAGGGAGGGCACATTGAAGACTTTGTATCTAAGGGCCTGTATACGATTTTTCTTCTCAATTCAATTCAATTCAATTCATAGGAAACAAAAATTCCAAACTTTGACCTCTTTCAGCTGCCTGACGGCTTGCTATATCGAAGTCGGTTCAATGGTGGTGTGATTTGTATTTATTCCTTGCGGCGAACATTTTCGCCTGAGTTTTCTTGCATTTGTTGTGTCTTGTTAGCAGCGTGGGCTTGGCGGGTGGCTTGCAGGTTTAGGGAGTGGACGTGGCTGTCCTGAGAAGGACAGCCACCTGTGCCGGGTGGCCTGGAACGGGATGGGCGGGGTCTGGCTTCTGCTTGTCAGGTTCTGGTGGCGTACTGGCGTCGTTCAGTTGGTGGGATGGTTTTTCCAGAAAGATGGCGGCTCGGTTTTTTGGCTTCTGCTACGTTAGTAGCGTCGTCGTCGCCTTCCTCGGTTGTTTCTCTGGGTAGGAGTGGTATTTGGCGGGCCCCATTTTTGCTCTTTTGCGTTCCATACTTGGCAGTTCTCCAGTGCATAGTGTTCTTCCTGGTCTCTTAGGAATTGTTCCTTGTCGAAGAAGTACGGAGCCGGTTCTTCGGGCGGTGCACTGCTGGCAGTCGGAAACTCCTGCTCTGCTTGTGTGTATTCTTCATCGGATATGATCTCTCCATCTGACTGTTCGGTGTCTGTGATGACTGGGATCTCTTCAGAGTCTTCTTTGTCGGTTTCATCATGTTCTGGTTCGGTCATTTGCGCCTGATGCTTCGTTGTTAGGTTGTCAGTGGAGACGCTTTTGTCGGCCTTGTTGGTATTCGGCTTTTTTGTGGCATTTCTTTCTTTCTCCAGCAGGGCTCTTTCTGTCTTAGCTGCTTGTGCTGCTGTTATGGCTTCTGCGGTGGCTTTCTCTAGTTTGGCGGCTTCGTGGCATGCGGCCTCCCGTGCGTTTGTAATCTCGGCCAGCTCCTTCCTTCTCTCCTCTCTCTCTGACTGGCGGCGTATTTCTTCTTCTGCTTGGGTTGCTCTGAGGCTGGTGAGTAGCTCTCTGGTTTTTTTAATGTTTTCTGCGTCTTCTGACTGTCTGTTTGTTTGCTGGGTAGCGTATGCCAGCCTTTCTGCCTTTAGGTCCTTGATCTCTCCTAGCAATAGGGAAATCAGTTCCAGGGTCTCCGTTCTTTCAGCGGCGGCGGTGGTTCTTTCTTTCTGGAGCGCTGTGATTTGGCTTCTCAGTTCGTCGATTATTTGTGGTATATCGTTTTGAATGGTGGCGGAGCGTGCCTGATCGTTTCGTTTGTGTCTTTGTATGTTTCTTGGTGGTCTTGCCTCCGGCTGTCTGGGCGCCTGGCATGTATCTCTGGATGAGGCGGCTATCATTTCTCTCCTGCACTTCTTGAGGTATGGGCACCCCAGGTACCTCGCACTGTGTGAACCTGAGCAGTTGCTGCATTTCCGCTTTTTGTTAGGCTTTTTGAAGTCGCTATCGAGTTTCGCTAGCGGGCACTCCTTGAAGTCGTGGGCTCCCGAGCAGTACCGACAAATAGGGCCACTGCGACAGGTTGCGGCGGTGTGCCACGCCCTGTTGCAGCGTGAGCACTGCATAATGTCTGTGGTGTGGGCTCCAGGCTGCTGCTTAGGTAAGCGGGTGCTTGTTGGTCCCTGCGCCACGACTGGGGCGGCTTTAGGTTGTGGCTCCACGATAGGGAGGCTTCAGGTGTCGGCGCCTTGATAGGGGCGGCTTCTGGTGTTGGCGCCACGATGGGGGCGGCTTCAGTTGTTGGCGTGGGTGTGCGAGGCGCCGCGATAGGGGCGCCTGCTGGTGAAGCTGCTGGTACGGCTCTCCTCTTCCTTGGTGTAGGTGCGGCTGTTTGTTGTTTTCCCATGATAGGAAAATCAATGGTGGCAATTGCGATCGGTGGCGAAAGCTAGGTCCCTTCGGAGTCGGCAAGGCTTGCTAGAGTATCCTAAAAAGGACACCCAAGCGTGCTTTCTCCTTAGTTCTCTAGCAATCGTTCAAAGTACTGGCTGGTATGACTGGCTCTACAACAATGATGTGCTCCCGGGCCGCTAATAACCCACCCGCAGACGAATAACAATAGTCTAGTCGAGCCAAAACTAAGCCGAATGTCAAGCGAGTTCTGACCAGTATCTAGCTATTGATAATCTGGCTACGAATGGATAGTTAGCAAGCTAACGAGAGACACACGTGGCTGTATCGGGCGGTATATCAAGCGAGCGAGAGAGAGCTGTGTGCGACTGGCCTGTCGGACTGCGAATGATGATGATTTTTCTTCTCAGGGACTTAAGCACCTTAGTACTCGCGTTCCGACGCCCCTGATGACCGATCGGATAAACCTTAACAGTGTTAGCTGGCCAATGAATCTGCCAGACTGTGTTTAGTAGGAAGTGTAATTACAGAAAAGCTACTGATCCTGGGCTATAAACAAATACAAATCTATTAAACGTTTCTGTGCTTTACCATTTACACACTCTCTCTCTCTCTCTCTCTCTCTCTCTCTCTCTCTCTCTCTCTCTCTCTCTCTCTCTCTCTCTCTCTCTCTCTATATATATATATATATATATATATATATATTCTGCCTTATGTGCCTCTGGGCGCGATAAAGACTGACTGGACTGACTGATTGACTGACTGACTGACAGACAAGACAAGACAAGACAGGACAGGCAGACAGACAGACAGACAGGACAGACAGACAGACAGACAGACAGACAGACAGACAGACAGACAGACAGACAGACAGACAGACAGACAGACAGACAGACAGACAGACAGACAGACAGACAGACAGACAGACAGACAGACAGACAGACAGACAGACAGACAGACAGACAGACAGACAGACAGAAAGGACAGACAGACAGACAGACAGACAGACAGACAGACAGACAGACAGACAGACAGACAGACAGACAGACAGACAGACAGACAGACAGACAGACAGACAGACAGACAGACAGACAGACAGACAGACAGACAGACAGACAGACAGACAGACA